TTTTTTTTTTTTTTTTTTTGTTGTTATTATTATTATTATAACCATACCAAGATTAATGTTTTAAATCTTAGTCAAGTTTATGATGACGCGTATATCGGAGCGACTTTTGCTCAACTTTATTCTCGCTCGCTTTACAAAACTAGCTCATCAATAATTTATCTGGATTTTTTTACATATCATAAATTTGATTATCCTAAATTTGGCTAACAGTTTACTGTATTTACATATGTGATATATAACGGCGGAAGTTTAAATCGCATATCGTTACTCGTCAGTCTGATGAGAAAAATCATCGCTAGTACATATAATAATAATGAGCGCAGCGAACGAGTGTAATATTTTTCAACACGAGAAGATAAAACTTCATATCTTCAAGCCAACGTGTAATTTTCTTTTTATTATATAGAAAAATCCACAAAGAAAAACTACGCAGGTTAATCAAAAGGTCCCGGAAAACATACGTTATATGTTACTCAGGTCCCGGATGTAGTTTGTACGAAAAATACGAGTGGCGTATTTCCCAGTAAAACACTCATTATATATGCAGTCAATGTCATTAATGTTGTCCACCGAAAAAAGACATTTAGACATTTACACAGACTAAAAGAAATATCACGTGTTTCATTATGTATTCTTTGCCTCGTGTTCATCAGCCTGAACTTTAAATGCAAAATTCAACTCGTGAATCGAAAATCCAGAATGCCCCGACCATTTCAGTGAGGATTTAAGATGGAGAATGGTATTCACAGCGTTTGTTTTATGCCAGAACGTTCGAGGAAACAAGTGATATTTCTTTTCTTTTTCTAAATGTGTAAATGTGTAAATGTCTTTTTTCGGTGGACAACGTTAATGACATTGACTGTATACAAGAGAATGTTACTTCATATTCTCTTGTTATATATTTGTAATTTTATTGGGAGACTATCCTATAGGTGGTATCTATCACCGGTGTAGTTCTCCTCATCAGTTGATTGGAAGCATATAATAAATAAAATAAATAAAATATTAGTCCATTCAGTTGACAAAATATTAATATTTACACCGTTAGACTCCATGTGAGGAGAAACCATGCAAGCATCAAGACAAGTGCATTCCATTCTATACAAACAACACCTACAAATGTATACCAGGTACGTCCACAAGTAGTTCCTTCAAAGCTTTAACTCATCTCTTAATGAATCCACATTGAAAACTCATAATGGGGTAACTCACAACATCCTTAATGGAGTGAAGTGTTTATTTGAAGAGGGCTTACAAAGGAGTATTTTCGCGCAATTAAATTCAGTGCAGTCTACTTCAATCTTTGATTCTTAGCATTGAATATCTTTTGCTGTTCGGCGCTCAGTTTTGTTTTTGCTTGCTTCGGCGTGATTGTTTCTCGAGAGTTAGTTTGCATTGTCGATTGATTTGCGATGAATTCGAATAGCACGGCGGCATATTGTAGCAGCCTCGTACGCAGTCGTTTCTCTTGTCTTATTGATCTCACGCTGTGGGTGATGGGAAGGATTTAGTGAGTTCGCGGTGCATCACGGGAAGGAAGGAAGAGAAAAGCGAAGCATCACTTTTTTCTCTCTCCTTCCCAAAAGCCATCGCGCGCATTAAAAAAGCGTGAGTGACGACTGGGTACGAGTCTGATATTGTAGGGTGTTGAAGGGTGTTGTTGTCGTCCATGAAAGAAATAAACGATGCTCCAGGAAACAGAATGATGGTGATACCAAGTACACTCAACCAAGTAAAAGACTTAATTGTTCTTATCTTTTGTTATCGTGAACATTCAGGTTGTGGTCAAGGGTGGCTACAGTTTGATAACAACTGCTACTTCTTCAATCATGATCCAAGTAAACCAGCGCATTGGAATGATGCAGCTAATGTATGCCAGCTTCTCGGTGGCCACCTTGTTGATATCCGTAACGAATATGAATGGCAGTTTGTGAAAAGCAATCTTAAACGAGCGGGCGATGCGTATGCTCAGTATATCATCGGCATGACAGATGCAGCAAGTGAAGGTCACTGGAAGTATACCGATGGCACTGCTGCCTCATTCTTCAAATGGAACGCAGGTGAACCAAGTGGAGGTACGAGTGAAAACTGTGGCAGTATCTTTTCTGACGCTAACATTGGTAGTTATAATGATGGATCGTGTACCTACAACTATGGAAGGTTCATTTGCAAGAAAGGTGCAGGACAGTAAAGCTACCGCAGGCCAGTGCAGTAGCTAGAGTAGAGGCTGAGACGCCCCTGGCCTTCTCGTTCCCCTTACTCCCTCACTGGTCCCACATATCAAATTTAACACCGTCGGAAGTTGTTCGAGCATGGCACTTTCGCTTCAATTGAGCATGAAATTTGAAATTAAGGATTCCAAAGAATACTTTTTTTTGTACACCAGAAAAATATTGCACAGTCACGCCTATAAGCGTCATTCTTTTCATCTCATTTCTTTTTGCACGTGTTTCTCAAGGGTTTTTCTAGTTGTGTTACTCAGACAATAGCAAACCAATCGCCGTTGCAGCAGTTTTCTCAATGGAATTAAAATCTTGTCCCACAAACAACTACACAGTACTACAAGGATAACGAGGCAATTTTCTTTTATTTTCTCGGGACATGAAACAATCAAAGCAATCTATGATCAATTTTCCGGGACTGATCCGGAGATCCAAATTCTGAGATATTCTAGATACTTTGTTGAGCTTGTAGGACATAGCAAAGCTTAGCAACGGTAAGTAAGGGGAGTCGGAATTATGAATAACCAGTTTCAATACCTTTTTCCATATTGGTATAGTCACCATGACGACAAATATTTCATCAAACCTTTTCCATGATTGTGTTTTCGTTTTCCGCCTGCAATGGTTGAACCCCATGTTCAATTAAGGGGATGAATTTACGAAACAGGTCACGTGACTAAGTTGTTAATAAGCATTTATTCAATTTTTCCTAACTACGCTGGAAAATATTAAGTATGAAGGGAAAAAAGTGTGAAGAACTCGACGCTATTTGAAATTTGTGTTTTTCTACCTTAAAGGTCACGTGACTGACTAAAGTCAAAATACCATGCTTAAAATTTCGGGAATAGACCCCTTGCAGTACTTTGGAACGCAGCTCAATCTGGGGGACATAACAATAGGTTCCAATTCTCAGGAGATTGGAATTCTTTTGTCCCCCAGATCGAGCTGCTGCTTTGACGTCACATGCAAGGGGTCTGTCTATTAGAGGGATATTACTTCGCCCGTGAAAGAATAGTCAATGTTGGTAATACATCTAGTAGTAGACACTCACTCCATTGTTTTCTTTTGTGTTACTTTGACTGTTACTCACTAAGTATACTACTTAGTATAGGAAATCGTACGATCTCGAGTACAATTTGGAAATTAATAGACACGAGTAATGTTTTGAAAGTTCTTGTAATTGCACGAGCCTTTGGGCAAGTGCAATTAAAGAATTTTCAAAACATTACGAGTGTCTATTAATTCCAAATTGTACGAGAAGATCGTGCGATTTTTTGTTTATAGTTCACTCAACAAAATTTCGACAGTAAAAAATGCGAAGCGACGCCGTTCATCTTTGTCTATTTGGCGGCCGATTTCCAGTCCATCGTGCAACTGAAATGCATAAAAAAGATTAGTTCTTACGGCTTTAAAATTTTATTTATGTTTTTTAAGTACAAAATGATAGAAAATAATTGTTTTGACATCGTTTTGGCCGTGTTACCATAGCGACTTAATTCGGTACTCCTATGGAGTACAATTAACGCTATAATTGTACTCCTCTCGACCAATCAGAGTCGAGTAATTTTGTTGAGTGTACTATAACAATATGTAATTGTTTCACGGGCAAATATAATCACTCTACCAGTCGACATTCGACCAACGAGATAAAACTTACGTAACTTATGTTCTAACTATGAATAAAGCAATAAGAGCTAAATGAAGCATTGATTTTCTCTTGTTGCTTTCGGGTTTTTTCTACATTTGTATCTCTTGTTTTGTCTAGGCCTACAAACTCCTAAATATCGTCAAGCAATTATTACATTTGTTTTTTGCGAGACCCCCTCTCCCCCCCTCTTTTTCATCTTCATGACCTAAATAGACTATTGACTCTGTGTATGAATTCGAGCCAAACTACAAGGACTGCAGATAAACTTAAAAAGTGGGGGGGGGGGGGGGAGGGGGGATCTAAGATTGGAAAATATGAGAGACTAGTATGCTAAGAGGGAAATACGAAATACTTAGTCCTTGTTAGTCGAAGGGAGAGTTATAGGTGAAAGAGTGAGAAAACCCGCCCATTACAGTTTGGGCTGCCTGTGGTAGTATCGTAGCAATTGACGTGGAATTATGGGATAGGTCACAAACACATCAAGACGCGAAGATCGAGAAGAAGGTTGTTCTGTTTACTCTTTGAGAAAAACCTCGAATTCGTACGCTTTTTGCTGCTATTAATGCATTTGAAGATCACTCAAACCTTCTTAATAGATTTAGGCTCCATAATACGTATTTTTAGTAGTAGTCATAGCTAGTATTATACAAAGATGGCTTCACAAGTTCATCTGTGGTTGCGAGCAGAAACCAAAGAAAACGAGCAAAGAACTCATCTTACTCCTCAAAAATGCCGAGAACTTCTTCAATCAGGTAAATATTGTAGAATAATGGATCATCTTCTATTTTCGAATCGAGAAATCTTGAATGATTCATAGTAGAGTTTGTAGACTTGACTAACAAATGATGCAAGTTTGTCTTGCATTTTTTCCGATGAGTCATTGCGTCATACTCTCCTTTAAGAAAAATTCTCATGAGGTTTGTTTGGTATTCTCTAGTTATCTTCCTCGTGTTTTTATTTCAAATCAAAAAATCTTTTAGTTTATCTTGTAAATCTGTCGGCTGCATAGAAGTCAAGTATTCGTTGGACATCTTATGTAATAGCACCAAATCCTTTACTCTTACTCTGTCCCCAGACAAAAATCTAATTGATGGGTTGCAAGCATTCCAAAGAGTGTTAATTGGTGCTGTTAACAATGGATGCTAATGAGAAATTTCTGGATGCCCATATCTAAATAAATAAGATTGGGGGTTTACGAAAAAACGATTGGATGATTGAGCCGAAAAAGACACTGTAAATTGTTTTCCCCCCCTAACATTAATATCAACAGATTTTGTGTCAAAATGTAAGTTTATGGCAACAGCCCAAAGGCTTTCCAGTGTGTTGGGATTTCTGCAGTAAAGAAGTAAAAAAAAATTACATGTTTATTGTTCGGATTTATAAAAAAAAGAGCACAGGTGGGCGGAGTTTTTTAAATTTATTTACTGACTTTTTATTATTAACAAAAGTATAGAATTTCGCTTCGTACCAAATTGAGGGAGACTGGGTTCAAAATGAAAGTAGTGCCCGTTACTTTTTTTCGTTTTGATTTTTAAAAACTAGGTGGAATAACAAATGATAATAAAAAAACAGGCGGCCCAAAAAATGAAGCAGGCGGGGACGATAAACTTGTAATTTTTTTTACTTGGCATAAAGGCCTATTTTATTGCAAGCATCAGACCCCTTAAAAGTATGGCTTGGACAATACCTTTATAATCAGGAGATGTAACTTATCCGGTAAAAGTTTTGATAAATATGACATTATACCTTGCCATCGCTATGACAACATTAAATGAACACCATCCTCAATAAAATCATGACATATATAGTCAAGCTATTTCAAAAGATATGGTCATTTTGGTTTGCAGTGATATATCTTATAATTTATTATCTTTATAGGGTTTAAAGTCACAGTAGAGTTATCAAAGCAGAGAGTATTTGAGGATGAGGCATACAAAGAGTAAGAACATTTGAAGATATAAGCAGTTTTCATGAGTGGTAACCTTTTTGAGTTCCAAATTACTGCAAGTTTTCATTTGCTAGGGTTAGCCTCATTTCAGTGTCTAAATATTCACAAATACCAACGGTAAAGTACCAACGGACCCTTTACTGGAACATATGAATATTTTTCTCATGATAGAGGCTAACCCTGAGCAACAGAGAACTTAAAACTGGAGTACTCAAATGCATTCCATTGTTATGGCATGTTGTGCTAAGTATGTGCATTTTCCCCACTCATACAAAAACTGCTGAACAACAATTATAGATTCACAGCTTGTTTGTGGATAATGTATTCCAATTTTTTTCCCTGTCTACTTAGGATTCAAGGGATAAACATTGTTCCTGAAGGTTCATGGCCTAATGCACCAAAAGATGCTTACATATTAGGGATTAAAGAACTGCCCAATTCCAATGAGCCAATTACTCAACAGCACGTCTATTTTGCACATGCATATAAGGTACATATCTGACTTTGTTACCACTCTTTTTATAGACTATATCACTAGTCTGTCAAAGCAATGCATTTTGAGAATGTTAACTAAGTTAAATAACACCAAACAAAAGAACAACAAACTATTGCCTGGTGAAGACTAGCAGTAGTAGTTGGAACATCACAGTCCACCTAACTGCGACAACTGTGAGACAAATACTGTGTAGTTGTTTGTGACAAAAGAATTTGATTCACCAGGAAAACTGTTACAAATGTGATATTTCTGGGTAAGAATCATTAATTAACCTCTACATCACATTTAATGTATCAACTTTACCTATGCCTTATCTTCTGTTCCTTGTAGTATCAAACAGGATGGGCTAATCTGCTCAATCGCTTTAAAAAAGGTGGTGGTAGTGTCTTGGATGTTGAGTATCTGACTAATGAAAAGGGTAAGGAAATTCTGACTTTAGCTTATACGACACAAGAGTATTTGTCATTTTTTAATTGCTTTTATTTTGACTTGTTTTTTTTTTCAATTGAGCAAGGGTTTTCATTCTTCCCTCCTCACGTTCTTTTTAGGTCAACGTACAGTGGTTGCTTTCCCTCATATGGCAGGGTTTACTGGCATGGCTCTCGGCGTTCTATCCTGGTGTCACAAATTGTTACAGTAAGTTATGGGTTTGGTGTTAGATTAATTCTGACCACTGTTTTCATTGCTACCACTGATCAGGACAACAGTCGCTACAAAAAAAAAGGCAGTAGAGTTTTGTCAATCAAATAAAAGAGTACTATTTGATTGACTGTAGTCTATCTCTTGACTGTCTCAATCAGTATGTAGCAATGAAAACATTGGTAAGCACTTACTCATTTGAATCAAAATCTCTTAGAGTGACTGATCAATGAATAATACTATTCTTAGCCCAAAATCCTCAATGCCTGGAGTGAAGCCATTTGCAAGTGAACAGTTGTTGGTCAATCATGTTAAAAAGCAAATCGAAAAAGTTTCAGAAATCAAAGGTTTGTGGCAAGGACTGAAATGGACTGTTTGTTAGTTGTATATAAACTGACTTATCGATATTTGTAACAAAACTACGCTTTGCTTCGGGAAACATAGAGACTCTCATGAAAACCAAAGTTTTTCCCTCGAGACCAGTTGATTTCATGCACGTAAACATTTGACTTGCAGTAGCCACATGTGATCATAGAGCCCCTGTCTTTAACCTCGTGAACCTGTAAAAAACCCTCAAAGCACAGGAGAGAACTAACAAGCAACTATACTTAATATGATATTGAGTACTGGAATATATCCATGGCCGCAGTAGTAAAAGGTGGCATGTTAGTAGTAGCACAAATCACCTGTATGTGTTAGTATATGTTGGAGTTACTGCTGTTGTATGTGTATATTGGTTTGATTTTTCTCTTATACAAGTGTGGTAAAAGAGATTTATAGTGCCCCAGCTGATGTATAAATGATGTAAATCCATTTTACCTCTATTGCGGAGTGTGTTTATAGCCTCCTAATCCAGAGGCTGAAGTTAAAGCTTTCAATGCGAGATCAAATAATTTCTCTGAGTTTCCTGCTTTTCCTCCCTCCGTAAAAATCAACTACTAAGATTCCAATCATTGGAATCTTAGTAGTTGATTTTTACAGAGGGAGGAAAACCAGGAAACTCAGAGAAAATACCTCAAAGCACAGGAGAGAACCAACAAACAACTCTACTCACATAAGTTGCACCAGTGGGAGGCAACACATTAGCTGTGCACACTACCCACCACCCATACTTCCATGATAGATTACGGTTTGTTGATCTTAAGCCAATCAGCAGACATTCAGTAATGAAAGTGATGGGGTAATATTAGACAGTTTGCATGTTTTCATAATTCTATTGCAATAAGAAGTAGTATAGGGAATGGGGGTTCCAGCGCAATCTCAACACGGG